CACAAGTGTTAATTTAAAAAAAAAAAAAGAAAGAAAACTTCACAGTTACTCATTTAGAGCCATTCATATGAAATGAAATGAGAGGAAAAAGAAGAGAAGGAGGGGAGGGGGAAAATATTTGAATAAAAATAAATACATTTCTATGCAGTCAATATTCAACATGCACTAGTATTTAGGACCCCTAAGGCTCCAGTTTTTGTTTTTCTTTTTGTTTTTTAGGAGAGGGTCTGGCTACATTTCCCAGGCTGCTCTTGAACTCTGAATCCTCCAGCCTCAGCCTCCCAGTACCTGATTTTCCAGGTGCAGGCCACCACACCTGGCTCAGAAGTTTCCGTTACTCGGAAAATGAGTGTAAGTAGGCATATTCAAAAAGTGTATCGGGAACCAGCAGTTAGCGTAATGGCTATGTCGCTGGACTCCCACGTAGTCAACCGCGGTTCACGTCCTGGACCCGGTGGCTTAAAAAACTCATGCCAGGCGCGTGTGCGTGCGTGCCGAAGATCCCAAGAGGAGAATGGAGGAGAAGGGATTGCGGTGTGACCATCCCCCCTGGGGGATGATTTCTCGCTTTCTGTCTCTATGTCTCTCTCTGTCTGTCTGGCGAGTGCACGCGCCCTACAGTGAAAATCTCTCCAAAAAAAAAAAAAGTGCATGGAAAATGTGTATTATGAAAAACCTGTGTATTATGAAACTGTGTATTATGCCAAAGCTCCATGTATTATGCATGGGTTTCACAAATTCCTTGTACCAAGATAAACTCATACTTTAATTCCATGTTTTCCATTTGAATTCTATAACTTCCATTTCTTAAAGTGTACTTGTTATTAGGTGACAAGTACACATCCAATTTCTTGAAAATAAGCCTTGGGGGCCAGCAGGTGGCATGGGGATTAAGGCGCTGGACTCCCACATGGTCGACTGTGATTCAAGTCCCGGGCCTAGTGGTTTGCTTTCTCCCCTTACACCCCCACACACACACCACCCCACCCCTGCCCCAACTCTCTCTGGTGAATGTATGTGCTCTATAACAAATTTTTAAAAATAATAATAGGTGGGACCAGCAGTTGATGTAATGGCTATGTCACAGAAGTCCCATGTAGTTGACTGTGGTTCAAGTCCCAGACCTGGTGGCTTAACCTCGCCCCAGGTGCGTGTGTGTGCGCACCCAAGATCCTGAGAGGAGAATGGAGGAGAAGGGATTGCGGCGTGGCCATCCCCCCTGGGAGGTGATTTCTCGCTTTCTGTCTCTCTGTCTTCCTGGTGAGAGCACACACCCTATAGAAAAAAAACCTCTCCAAAAATAAGGAAAATAATAATAATAATAATAATAATAATAATAATAGGGGCCAACAGGTGATGTGTTGGTTAAGGCACTGGACTTCCACATGGCCAACCACAGTTCAAGTCCTGGACCTAGCAGCTTGCCTTCTCCCTTTCCCTTTCTCTCTCTTTCTCTCTCTGGTCAAATTAAAAAATAATAATAACAAAGTTAAATAAATAATTCTAAAAAATAATAAATAAATAAATGAAATAAATAATTCTTTTCTTTTTTAAAGGCAAAGAAAAGAAATCGACTTTTACCTGGAAGCTCAATATGTAAACAGGTAAAAGGGGGGTTGCCCTGGTACGCTTTACCCAGGCGCCTGGCAGAACCTACCTGTTTCCACTCCTCCCACGTGGGCTGCCGCATCTCTCCAGCTTCGTGGCTGGTTTCGGAGGTGTGGGGTGAGGGCTCCTCCTTCTCCCGGATGCCTGGGAAGCCTGCTTGCTCCTGGCACCGCTCCAGCTCTAGGTCCACGGAGCGCCGCGCCTGCACCTGCCGGGAGAGCTCCTTCCGCTCAAGGCGGCCGGTGCAGGGGATGCTGGAAGACCGGCCGGTTTTGTGGGCCTTGTGGGCCTTGTCAGAGCTCAGCCGCAGGGGCGAAGCGGGCAGAGAGCGGCTCTGGGGCAGAAACCATGGGGTGGGTCTCTCTGCTGAGTTCGTCTCATCGGTTTTTCTCTTCATCTCCGCCTGTTTTCCACTCTCCTTTCTTGTTTTGCATCTCAAGGTGGAAACAATCTAAACATGTCCAAAAAGATACAGAGGCAGGAATGAGACCTTAGACGGTGTCGCAATACTTCTGGGGCTTCCAGGTCAGTCCTGAACCCTGGTAAGACCTTCGGAGCAAACCTTGGTATCTCTTCTTCCCTTTTCTTTTCTTTTTAAATAATTATTTTGGGGCCAGCAGATGGTGTGGTGGTTAAGGGTGCTGGCCTCCCACATGGCCAATCATGGTTGAGTCCTGGACCTGGCGGCTTGCTTTCTCATTTTCCCTTTCTCTCTCTCTCTCTGGTCAAATTTAAAACAAATAAAATTAAATAAAGTCATTCTTTTAAAAAAAGAATGATTTCATTTAATTTTATTTGTTGTCATTATTTTATTTTATATTTTATTTATTTATTTATTTGAAGTTGACCAAAGAGAGACAGAGAGAGCGAGAAGGAAAGTGAGAAGCAAGCTGCCAGATCCAGGACTCAAACCACGCTCAGCCATGTGGGAGTCCAGCCACCCTAACCACCACACCACCTGCTGGTCCCATCCTTGGTATCTTTTGGGACTGTTGTGACACTTAGGCATACAATCCATGGGCTTGCATGGTTTGCTTATATTTCACTGTTCAAAGAAATTCATATTTCTACAAAATTATTGACCTGCAACAAAGTGGAAATACGTAAAATCCATCTTTTGTCACAAAGAATGATCACGAAACACGATCCTAGAAGGTCCTTTCTCTCTGGGAGCCTCATCATCTTTAGACAAGCGTGTTAAAGGGCACCTGTCTCTCAGGGCGGCAAGAGCTTTCCTGTTGTGTTGCAGATGCTAAAACAAAGATGGAAGCGGGTGAGGAAGAGGAATACAGAAAGCCTGACCTTTGCTCTCAGAGAGGCCTCTTACAGGAAGTGCTACTGTGCCCAGTATCTCACCATTTTACCTGTTGTGGGGGTGTGTGTGTGTGTGTGTGTAGCCCTAATCAGGAAGCTAGGTGCTTCTGTCTTGCCCAGAGGAGCTGAGTAGAGTCTCCTTCACTGACTCGTCGGCAGCACGGCACTAGGACTGGGGTGAGAGGTAAAGGACTCACGTAGACAAATCCTTTCTGTCCCCTTAAATTTCACCAGAAGGTGCATGCACTCAGCAGAGGGAGGCAGAGAGAAAGCATCCCCCACAGGGAGTGGCCATACTGCAATCCCTTCTCTTCCACTTCTCCATCCTTTGGCAGTTTTGGACATGCGCACACACACTCCAGTTTTCCAAGTCACCAGGGCTGAGATTCAGACTGAGTGGTCGGCCATATGAGATCCGGCTCCCTTAACCACTAGGCCATGGGACCAGCCCATGGACAAATTCTGATCATGGGGAAGAGAGGAGTCAGCCCTCATGACAAAATTATGTCATTGAGCAATAAGAGAGTGAGCAGCCACTCCTGGCATGCCTGAGTTCTACAGTGAAAACCAAGGGAGGGACCAGCAGTTAACGTAATGGCTATGTCACTGGACTCCCATGTAGTTGACCATGGTTTGAGTCCCCGACCCAGTGGCTAAAACTCACACCGAGCGCATGTACGTGCGTGCACAAGATCCTGAGACAAGAATGGAGGCGAAGGGATTGTGGCGTGGCCATCTCCCCTACGGGGTGATTTCTCGCTTTCTGTCTCTCTGTCTCTCTCTGTCTTTCCGGTGAGTGCATGCGCCCTATAGCAAAAATCTCTAAAAAAAAAAAACTGAGGGAGATGATCATACGGATATCAGAATAAAGGTCTAGTTCATGAAGGGAAGTCGTGCAAGCACTCACCCAAAGGAGAAAGGCCTTCTGCAAATAGAGCTAAGGATTGTGATACACAAAAGCCATGTCCCCGTGTGGACTGCTCAGGGCGAAGAGCCGCAGAGCTGAAGGGTGTTTGAAGAGGAGGCCAGCTCGCACTGAAGAGAACATGGACAGGTGCTTTCCACGTCCTTGGCAGCTCCAGTCTTGGCCACAGAATGTGAACTGACTCACAGCCGCCTCCTGTCCTTGCTGTCGGGAAGGGCCAGGCCACTGGTCCCTTCCCTTTCAACTCTCAGGTAACTGTATATGTATATATAAATTTGTTAAGAAAGTTATTTTTGCTATAAAGCATGTACAGTTGCTAGAGAGACAGAAAGAAGTCACTCTCTCCGGGGGGATGACCACACTGCAATCCCTTCTCCTCCATTCTCCCCTTGGGATTTTGGGCATGCATGCACATGCACCTGGTGTGTTTCAAGCCTCCAGCTCCAGGACTCAAATCTCAGTCAGCCACATGGGAGTCCAGTGACGTAACCATGATATTATCTGCTGGTCCCTCAAATAACTGTGTTTTGAGGATATTGTCTGCTACAAGAAATGGTCTGTGAGGCTGACCCGTGTGGGAAGGTTCTCCACGTGCCCTCTACCTGCCTAGTAGCAGCATCAACCAGTGCTCACTACACAGCTAGGCCTCTACACATTCTTTTTTTTTTTTCTTTTTTTGGAGAGGTTTTTGCTATAGGGCACGTGCACTTGCCAGACAGACAGAGAGAGACAGAGAGACAGAAAGCGAGAAATCACCCCCCAGGGGGGGATGGTCATGCCACAATCCCTTCTCCTCCATTCTCCTCTCGGGATCTTGGGCATGCATGCACACGTGCCCGGCGTGAGTTTAAGCCACCGGGTCCGGGACTTGAACCGCGGTCGAATACATGGGAGTCCAGCGACATAGCCATTACGCTAACTGCTGGTCCCTAGCCTCTACACATTCTTAACAGCCATTCGAGTGGAGTCAGCACACAAGATGACATTCGTTTTATGTTGACAGTGAAGCCAGGCATTCAAGAGAAATCGGTATTCTTGCTTTCATCAGTACCTTGGACCTGTCCAATTTATCCAAAAGCTCCAGGTCAGTCCTGTCTGACACCCCACCATGGAGAATCAGGACTTTCTCATCAACCAGAGTGGCCAGCGGAAGCCAACAGAAAACATCTTGCAGCCTTCTGAGTATTTTCTTGCCATGTGTCTGAAAAAACATGATATTAACAAGGTGTTCAGTTAATAAACATAATTCATTCAAATAAAAATTCATTCCACTTATCTGAGCTAAGAAAATTTTGCTTTTAGAGGCAGCACACCTTATATTTATGCATCACTTCCTTGGTGAAGCCATATCTAGATTTAGAAGTAAAAAAAGACATTAAAATAGATTTAGTGACAGTACTTATGGCATGACCACACTTTAAAAGATGCATATTCTAGATAGATGCATTTAAATACTTAGGAAAGAGGTCGAGGAATACTCACCAAAATGTTTATCATTGGAACATTATCTTTGGGTAGAGAAATTATGAGATACTTTAATGTTCTTTTTGCTTAGCTGTACTTCTTATTTTTTTCCATCATGAACTTTTATTGTTTATATGATAAAAAAGTATGGTATCTGCAGCCCGGCCACTGTGACAGAGCAGTAACTCAGATGTTCTGCAAGGCTGGAAGCCATAGGCCAAGCATGGGTTCATATCCCTTGATCAGGTTGAAAACACAAAGTGTGGGTCGTGTGATGGTTAAGGCACTGCTCTTCCACATGGCTGGCTGTGGTTCAAGTCCCAGGCCTGGCCATTTGCTTTCTCTCTCTCTCTCACTCTGTGTGTGTGTGTCTGATGAGTGTATGTGCTCTGTAGCAATTTTTAAAAAATAATGATAAAATTAAATAAATAATTATTCAAAAAAAAAAAAGAAAAGAAAAGAAAGAAAAAAGAAAACACAAAGGGCATATGCACAGCACCCAAGGTCCTGAGGAGCCAGAAGGCTGGGAAAGGGGACTGTAATGAGACCCTGTCATGCGAGCTTCTTTCTCTCTCTCATCCCTATTTCTCTTGCAAGTGCTCCCAACTTAAACAACAACAAAAAAGTTTAGGGCTGACCCCATAGCACAGAGGTTAAATATAGTGTATGGAGAGCTGGTTTCCACATGACTGACCCTAGTTTGAATCCTGGCCCCAGCAGCTTGAAACAAATGCTGAGTGTGGAATGTGGGTCTCCAAAATCCTGATGGGATAGAGAAATAGGAATAAAAAAGGATTGCAGTGTGCTCATGCTTCATTTCATGGGGGGTCTCTGTCTCTCTATCTCTCTGATGAAAAAATATGGACATTTGAAAAAAAAAATGGTTTTATTGGAATAGTAGAATAACATGTACATTTAGAAAAATCTTAGGCTGGCCCCACCGTGCAGTGGTTAAGCGCTGTGTGGTGGGAGCCAGATCCTACATGGTCAATTGCAGTCAAATCCCAGCACCGGCAGCTCAAAAGCCACACCTGGTGTGTGTGTCTGTTCAGGACCCTGATGGCATGGATCCCGGCATCACAACCATGGGGGCACATGCCCTCTGGCAATTAAAATATTTTTAACGTTATGTTGTGTGTATTCTACTTTTACAAAATTGGAAAACTCTATTTAAAACCATCTAACAAATGAGCTCTGGTGAAATAACCTTCCACAATCACAACAGACATCAAATACCCAAGTGTTTTGGCTTGTACCGTAAGTTCACCATATGGTCCTCATGGTTTCCTCGGTTAAGATGAAACTCTTTTGGGTAAACCAACATGAAGGTGAAAAGAATCATCAGGATCTCTATTGAATCCTTGCCTCGATCCACGAAGTCTCCGTTGAACACGTAGGCCCGCTCTGGCGACGGGAGGCCGTTCTTCCCCACAAGGAGACAAGTCAAAGCAGAGTTAGTAAAGGGAGGGACTAGGGAATCAGGCTAAGGTAATGGGCATTTGAGTCACAGGAGGCCTCCCATCAGCTCTGTGCTTCCTGGATCTGCTCCAAGGGTGAAATGTCACTACGAGATGGAAACATTTTTTATGGGTCTTACACTTTCTTTCTAGCAGGCTGAGAGGATAAGACACTCATCAGAATGCTTTATACAAAGCCAGAGCGTTTCCCATGTGGTCTGAAGCAAAGGACAAAAACGTGTGACCTAAAGGCCAGTTTTGAGCTCTGGTCACATGATCTTTAATTAGCAGTAATAATAATAAAAGTGGGGCCAGTGGATAGTGTGGTGACTGGGGCTCTGGATTCCTACATGGCCAACTGTGGTTCAAGTCCTATACCAGGTGGCCTGAAAATCAGGAAAGTAAAATAATAAATAGATAACTAAATAAATAAATATTTAAAAAAATAAAGCAGGGCCAGCAGATGGTGTAGTGATTATGTTGCTGGACTCTCACATGGCTGACCACGTTCAAGTCCCACACCCAGTGGCTTGAAAATCATGCCAGGTATGTGCATGTATACCCAAGATTCCAGGTGATGAATGGGGGAGAAGGGATTGTGGTGTAGCCATCCCCTCTGGGGGGCAGTTTCTCATTTTTCCCTCGCTGTCTCTCTTTCCAATAAGCATGTGTGCCCTAAGACAAAAATCTCTAAAAAAAAAATAGCTGTCATAGACTCTTTAGGATCAAGCAAGATAATCCATTGGGAAGTATAGTATACACAAAAAGTAATATTACATCAATAAAATACTATATTCATATACTTTGTGACATGCTCTACATTGTATAACTAAAAATGGATATGAAAATAGCTTTTGGTGGGACCAGCAGTTAGCATAATGGCTATGTCACTGGACTCCCATATGGTCGACCACGGTTCACGTCCCGGACCCGGTGGCTTAAAATTCACGCCGGGCATGTGTGCGTGCGTGCCCAAGATCCCGAGAGGAGAATGGAGAAGGGATTGCGGCGTGGCCATCACCCCTGGGGGGTGATTTCTCTCTTTCTGTCTCTCTGTCTGTCTCTGTCTGTCTGGAGAGCACACGTGCCCTGTAGCAAAAACCTCTAAAAAAAAAAAAATAGCTTTTGGTTCCTTTGATAAACATAAATGGTCTTTATTTTTGAAAAAATAAAAAAGAATCAATTACTAATTGATGATTCTATTTATTAACCTCACAGTTTGCATTTGTTAAACAGTTTACAGAAATATGCTAGAATATAATCCTGTGCCAACTTTTATATTATATATTTGCTGTGCAGTATCAAATATTACTTAAAATATTTCTTAAGGTCAAGCAATATTTAAGCATTCACTTAATAGATAAATAGATACTGTAAATGAAGCCTCAGAGCAAGAAATAAATTTAATTTAAATACTTGTACCTTATAAAATATAAATATTAAATCATCCAGCTGGCCATGTAGATCTCCTAACAAAGACAGAAAAACAGTATCAGTAACTTAAATTGCTAATTTTTTACATGTAAGAGATAAATACTAATTTTCCTTGCTATGGGGATAGTTAATATTAAAAGCAGAAAGCACAATATTTTTTCTGTATGATTACAACACATAATAAAAATGTAAGTATTTAGCAAAGCAAGGATGGAACAGAATAATGCAAAGTTAAACCTAGATGAGAACTGGGGAGGTTTTGCTCAAGTTAAAATAAGAAACTGCTGCTTCCCTACTGGCCAGCATTAGGAGATTTTTTTCTCAAGAGAAGCTGCAAAATCTAGACTTTACTATGAAATCCTCCAATTGTTAAATGTTAGAATACCAATTTTAAGAGTATAGGGACCAGCAGATGGCATAATAGTTATGTTGCTAGACTCCCACATAGTTGACCACAGTTAGCATCCTGGACCTGATGGCTTAAAGCTCATGTTGGGCACATGTGCATGCAGAGAATAATAGAGGAGAAAGGATTGTGGTGTGGCCATCCTCCCTGGGGGAGGGGGGACGATTTCTTGCTTTCTATCTTTGTCTCTCTGGCAAGTGCATGCACTCGGTGGCAAAAATCTCTCTCTCTAAAAAAAAAAAAAAAAAAAAAAAAAAAAAAAGATTGAGAGAATATTGCAGGGCAGATGAGACATATCTATAGGCTGTATGTGGCCCTCACAGTGCAAGTCACAATCCCTGTGAACAGCTCTCTCCTTCACCTCGTTCAGGTGTGTAGGGTGGGGAGCCAGCAGTCTCTAATCTTTTTGGCCAGTTTTGTGGAAGATAGACCAGGTAGGGGGGTGGCTTATGAAAGCATGTAACCTAGAGCCCTTGCGTGTGCAGTTTACGATAGGATTCACACTCCTATGAGGGTCTACTGCTGCTCCTGGTCTGACGGGAGGCAGAGCTCAGGCAGCAATGTGAGCAATGGGGAGTAGCTGTAAATACAGATGAAGCTTCATTTGCTTGCCTGTCACTCACTTCCTGCTGTGTGGCCTGGTTCCTAATTGGCCATGGACCAGTCTAGGTGTTAAGGTCCCCTGCTCTAATGGATGTTGGACATCATTCAAAACACAGGAGATGAAGAGGAGTGTCATTGACATGACTGCTCTCTGGGAGGAGAGTATATGCATGTGAGTGGAAGGAATAATTCACTAGGCTTTGGAGCTTGCTCAAGCACCAGTAAATAAATTGTCCTCCTTTTTTTTTTTTTTTTTTTTAAAAAATTTTTTTAAGAGGGATTTTTTGCTATAGGGTACGTGCACTTGCCAGAGAGAGACAGAGAGTGAGAAAGAGACAAATCACCCTTTAGGGGAGATGGCCATGCCACAATCCCTTCTCCTCCATTCTCCTCTCAGAATTTTGGGCACAGGTGCACATGTACCGGCATGAGTTTCAAGCGGCTGGGTCTGAGCCACAGTCGGCTGTGTGGGAGTCGAGTGTCTTACACACTGTGCCACCTCTGCCCACAATAAACTGTTTCCTAACAGGGAAGGTACTTGCAGGCATTTCATTCTGAATGAAGAATCTGGGTGAGTCTGGGTCAACATGGATCACTGGGGAAAACTAGCAGAGGCTGGGAGCTAGGATGCATGGTCCCCCTTCCCCACACCACCTCTCCTTTAAGTGACTGTGGAGGGAATGTGTGAATGCTCAGTGTGATGCAGTGACACTCGGCCTGCCCCCATGGACAGCTGTTTCTGACGGTTCTTACCACACACTGTGATCTCCTCGCTGTAACACGTGGAGACCCGGTTGATGTTCGGCAGCTGAACCAGATGCTTCTTGGTTTCATACAAAAGATTCAAGACATAACGAGCATGGAGCTGCTACTGGGAGGAAGAGGAGACAGGGAACGAAACAGCACTGAGGAAGATGGCCTCCCCTTTACCGCTGAATGTCCCCAAACGCGTGAGCTCTCAGAAGTAACCCCAGTACAATGTTCCTGGGACTCCCTGCAGGGATTCTTTCTTTTCCACCCCTCTTCTGCCCTTGTTTCTGATTTTATTTTCCATCAACCCCATTCGTCCTTCTCACAGAATTTCTTATCTACTCTAGAAAACCATTCCTTGCATTTAGCTTGGGAGGAACGCATGACTGAGCAAAGTGTGAATAAGCGTGTGTGTGTTGATGGTACTTGAGCGATCCTGTCATTACTGGGAAACATCATCCCAGCTCCTCCTGCAGTGACTTAGTTACCTGTGTGAGAAAGGCAGGATGGACTGGAATTGGACCCAGAGCAGAATCTGACCACTTCTTGCCACCTCTGCTTCGACCACTAGGGTTCCAAGCCTCTGCTGTCCTCACCCGGACCCCTGCAGTCGTCCACTGACCATCTCCTGCTTTGGCCCTTGCCCTTCCATTCTATATCAGCACAGCAGCCAGAGCAATTATTTTCAGAAATTGGATCAGATCATTCTTGTGCTCCGTGTCCCATGTCTCCCATCTCTTCTGGAAGAATGAAAATCCCTTCCCCTCACCTCCACTGCTCTTCGCCTGGCTCCCTCCTTTCCAGACACAATGGCTTCCTGAGGTTCCTGCACGGTCCAGGCAAGTCCATGGCTCATGCAAGATTTGTCTCCTCGTCATGAAAAGGTCTTTCCTTGGATGCCACATCAGGCATCCCTGATAACCTCGAATCTGCTCAGAAACCACTGTCCTTGACTTCTCTGTAAAACTGCCGTCACTCCCGCTCACAGCTCCTGTCACACTCGAACACACTCCATAATGGACTAATGATGGCTATGTAGTTTCTGTCTCCCCACTAGAATGTCGGCCCATAAGAGCAGGGTTTGTTTCTGTTTTGTCCCGTGCTTATCTCCACGGCAGAGAACAGCATGAGCATGGAGCATTGCTCAATAATTATCCAGGAGAGCAGTAAGCAAGGAAAGATTACGGAACCATAAACACTGGCTGACCAACCCCAAGTTTGATCTCCTGAGCAAACTGGCTCAGCAAAGGCGGAATGGAATCTCTTTAGTGGGCACATGACACAATCATCCTACTAACCCCTAGGCCGCCCTTTCCGGGCTGCATTTGGTCTTTCACACATTACATGGAGTTGGGGTGCCCCGGGTGGCCCAGGGGAGCTTACTTGTTTCAGTCTGAATGCTTCCACCAGGGCAGTCGCATGGTCAGGAAGGAGCGGGAAGGAGAGGCGTGGCCCCGTGTAACAGTCTGGGACCTCGATGGATTCATAATCACTGCCGTTCTCCATCTCGGAGTCTGGGAGGAATCTGTCCTCAGTGAACATGCGGTTCAGGAGGTCCCCTAGTCCGGAGAGAAATGATCATGCACACAGTCCAGGGGCAATGCTGGCTAGCTGGAATCTATCCTGCTTTCCCCCTTTTCTTTCTTTTTTCTTTTCCTTCCTTCTTTCTTTCTTTCTTGCTTTCTTTCTTTCTTTCTTTCATCTTTCTTTCTTTTTTTTTTTTTAAGAATGATTATGATGGGATAAACAGATGGTGAAATTGTTACAATGCTGGACTTCCAGATGGCCGACTGGTTCAAGTACTGGACCTGGTGGCTTGAAAATTACACTAGGTGTGTGTGAACCCAAGATCCCAGGAGAATGGAGGGGAAGGGATTGCCGGGTGGCCATCCCTGCCCCCGCTGGGGAGGGGTGATTTCTCACTTTCTCTCTGTCTCTTCAGTGAGCACACACACCCTATGACAAAAACCTCTAAAAAGAAAAAAAAAGAAAGAAAAAGAAAAGGAATTATCACAGATCTATTCTACTTTTATTTTAGCAGTCTGAGATTTGCTGGACTCAGTATAGAAGTGGGGAAGCCTCTAAGCCTGAGGCAAGGCAAAGGAGAAGCCAAGGTTAGGAAGAGCAGTTTGTGAGCATGTGTGGTGCCCTGGGTGAGGCCGCAGACTCCCAGACCGCTTGGGCAGCCCCAGCTCTGCATCTCTAACCTGAGGGCTTTTCCCCTGGATCTGAAGAGGGCTCACCAGGCAGGCCAGAAAGGCTGTAGCCTAGATGACCCACCAGGCCATCCCTCCCAGCAGCCTTCCACCAATGGTGCTCAGGGGCTGAGGTTCAAAGACTCCAGTTCCCTCCGCCTAGGGTGGGATCATCCCGAGCTCCTTTCTCTGCACTCTCTCTCTCTGCACTTTCTCTGCACTGTCTGCCAGGCATGCCCAGGTTGCTGGCTGCCGGGCCTGTTGGCTGCCTTCCCTCTCCTGAATCCCCTCCCCACAGCCTCCCACCTGCAGGCTTCTCACACTTAGCATTGAGACTGCTGCCTCTGCGTTTGTCTCGGGATAACCCAGAGTAAAACTCTGCTCTGCCATTTATTGGCCAGCCCTGTCGCTCATTCCCTGCTGTGACCAGATTCACAGCCCTGCTCCCTGAGTGTCCCCTCCTCACCTGCTCCCTGTGACCTTGAGACAAGAGGACATGCCACGAGGCAGTCCATACTCACTTTCAATGTGGCTGCTGGGGACGAAGTGATCCATGAGGTAGCTGAAGAAGTCATGGAGCTGCAGAAGAACCCAAGGGGACTTGGCTTTAGAGACGTAGGAACGAGGCCACAGGGGTGGACCCGATCAGAGCGCCCAGGGCTGGAAGGTGGAGCTGGGTGACTCCTCCTCCTGACCCCACCGCACCTTGACCTGGTCCTGCTGCCCGGAGTACTCGATGGACTGGAAGATGCCCCAGGTGCAGCGGCGCCGCGTCTCCAGGCGCGCCATGTACCGTCGGTACCATCTCTGGATCAGGGCTGCCGCCTTGAAGGCTGTGATGGAGATGGGGGAGCAAGCCATGAGAGGGCACTCCCAGGCCAGAGCAGGGAAGGGGTTCGGGAATAAGGGGAACCAGCCCAAGATGGTGGGGAACGCACCACCCTCCATGACCCATAGAAGGTATGTGTCTTTAGCAGGCCATAGAGCTTTTTTATTTTATTTTTAAAGAGTTAGTTATTAACTATATTTATACATTCATTTATTTATTTTAATTTGACCAATGACAGAGAGAGAGAGAAGGAAAGTGAGAAAGCGAGCCACCAGACCTGGAACACGAACTGTGGTTGACCATGTGGGAGTGTCCAGTGCCTTAACCACCATGCCACCTGCTGGTCCTGGCCATAGAGCTTTGTTCCCCATTCCCATTCCACCCCACCTCCATTCTCACCAGAGGGTTATTCTGATATCACCAGAGATTTGCTGGAACTCCCACTTGGTGATGAAAACGTCTGTATGGGCAGAGACGGAAAGGTTGGACCGCCATGACTATGAGAAGAGGAGGTGAAACTAGAGTGATGGCCAAGAGGCAGCATCCTTGATGCGTGGGATGACGTGGGGGCGGAGGGGAGGGAGAACACGTGATATTAGGACACTAGACTAGATGCCAGGAAATCTGGGGTCCAGGCCCGGAATTGCCCTGACAAGTATGTAGCCTCCACAAGTCACCCTTCACCTCGGTGTCCTCATCTGGAAAAGGCATGAGGACACCGAGGTGGAAGGCATGAGGACACCGAGGTGGAAGGCAAACAACAAGTGCTTCAATGATGTCATACGATGTCGGGGGGTTAGTGTTTCCCAGCTCCCAAGCTTGTTTTTCTCAGTTCTGTGATATCCCTGTGGGATTTAAACACCCTCGTCGGGGCCAGCAGATGGTGTAGTGGTTAAGGAGCTGGACTCCCACATGGTCAATGGCAGTTTGAGTCTCGGACCTGGCATCTTGAAACACGCCAGGCATGTGTATATACGTGGCCTAAATCCCTAGAGGAGAATGAAGGAGAAGGGATTGCGATGGGGCCATCCCTCTTACGGGTAATTTCTCATCTTCTGTCTCTCTGGCAAGTGCATGCGTCCTATAACGAAAATCTCTTTCTCAAAAAAAAGAAAATTAAACATCCCCTTTGCAAAACACTTAGTTCTACTGATAGCTGTGGGCTTCTCCTTTCTTGTCAGAACTTGTGTGAGGGGACCACATAGGGCAGGTTGAATGTGACAATTTAGTTCCTCACATGAGGTTTGGGACACATGGTCGAGTTTTGTTGCCAGAGAAGGGGACAGCTGTCCATGTAAGTAACTAGATTCTTCTTAAGCTCCTGGACCTGAATACGCTGCAGGTGATGAATGGACTATTTGTGGGTAAAGCTGGATTAAAAGCGAAACCTCGTGGGTTCGTACAGGTCAACCTCGTGAACAGTAGACAGATTGACTTAATATATTTAGCTCGCATTAGAGAGCTCATAGGATT